CTGTCTACAGTCTGAGCTGAATGCTAATCAAGAGATTGCGAAAACAACAAGAAAGGAGCATACAGGGAAAAAATGAGTGTGGGGGGGTATCCTGTTTAGTGTAGCAGGCTGGGGGGGAGTGGGCAGTGTGTGTGTAGCAGGCTCGGGGGGTGGGGCAGTGTGTGTGTGCTGGGGCAGGCAGTGTGTGTGTGTGTGGCAGGCTGGGGGGGAGTGGGCAGTGTGTGTGTGTGTAGCAGGCTGGAGGGTGGGTAGTGTGTGTGTGTGTAGCAGGCTCGAGGGCAGGCAGTGTGTGTGTGTGTGTAGCAGGCTCGGGGGGGTGGGCAGTGTGTGTGTGCTGGGGCAGGCAGTGTGTGTGTGTAGCAGGCTAGCGGGGGAGAGGGCAGTGTGTGTGTGTGATCCAACCATTCATTCACACGCAGAGTGACATACCACATGCGACGGTGCCCTGCACCCCGCTGTATTGCCAGAGAGTTCAATGCTACATAACACCCTGCACCACCCCGATCCCCCCACCATGCACTGAAAGGCAAGGCAATGCAGCACACCACAACGCATAGGGGTCAATGCAACAATGAAACCCAATGCTTATGCAGCACAACAGCAGGTGCTAGGAGCACACAGACTGCAGGTCAGAGCAGAAGTCTGTGTGTATATTGTCTTTTGAGAATGTTAAAGTTAAACAAAACAAAAAACATCCCATAGAAATGCAGAGTTAAAGTTAAATGTAGTTATCAAGCAAGGAACCCAAATCATCTTAACTCTGCCTCTGTCATGAAAGCCCTGGGAAAGTCGGAAAGGCAGATGGCATCATCGTTCCATAACACAGAGCTTCATTCTGTTAGCGATCACAAACCCGAGAATGTCTCAGTGACAGTTGTGTAGTGGTGGGCCTGCTTTCCAGTCAAGCACACCATGCAAACAAGGATTTTACAAATTCCTGAATAGACAAATACTGAAGGTAATCACCCCCCATTCTTCATTAAAGTCCTGAACGTGCCAGGTGATCGGTTTATGCTCAGCACCTCACAGAATCTGACCTTACGATTCCATGTGGCCACCAATTCTCTGTGGATAGTTAGACACAGAGCTAGCATATCACAGTATCCTTGTGTTTGAAAAGAGAGAAGGTACATGTGGTGTTAAAGCAGCACATGGTAGTGGAGACATGCATGCACTAAGTTATAAAAGCAATGCACGGGTGCAAAGAGGGAAGGATGTCAGGATACTATCTATAGGGGGCAGAATTAATATAGTCACAGCAAATGTCTGTATTTACAGATGGGAAAACAGAAGGAGACAGAGGTTAAGACACTTGCATAGGCCACCCAGCAGGTCAGTGACATGGCCAGGCATAAAACCCAGCTCACCTGACTCTCTGCCCCTGCTCTAACCATTGGTAATTTCTCCCACCATTGATTTAGAAGAGCTGAGGGGGCTGTGGCTCAGGACTGGGATGTGTGTTTTGGGATGCACAGAACTGGAATATGAGGTGATGCTGCGTGTCAGGTCTGGGGTGAGATTTCTGACACTTTCACCATGGCTTTACTCACACTCTCTGTCTCCCCTGATGGAGCTCCAGCCCTGGGCGATGCTTAGATCCGAGAAACCCAGCTATGAGAGACTGCAGCAGGATGTGGGGGAGTGTCTGGTGGGTCAGGGCCCTTCGGAGCTTATTAACCCATTGGCTAGTTACCTGATTATCCTGGGACCACACCAGCTCAGCCCTTTGTGCTATCTTATTGTTCTTCATGGTGTCAAGGACTGCCCGTCAGTGTTTGTTTATTTTAAAAGTGTTCCCTGTAAAGCTGAGAATTCAAATCTCACCCTTCAGACCCAAGTGGGAATGGATGGATAGATGGCGTGAAGAGTGATGGACCCAAGGCCGGGAACGTGGCACAGGAGGGTGTTTTCCCTTGGTGCCTATAACTGGATCCTCTCCACCTTTATCTTCTTTGGTACAAAAGAAAGTCAAGCTCCAGGATCCGCATCCAAACACTCCCAGCCCCGGCCTTGGGATTAGGCAGCTCGTAATCCAGATCTGATCATTGGTGCCCAGGCTCAACTGTATCTGAGGCCTTGTCTACGCTGGGGCTGAATCCAAATAGCGCTGTGCCAGTTTACATCAGCAGAGAATTTGGCCCTGAGGTTTTAACCATCAGGTAGCTGCACTGGGAAAACCCTGAGTGCAGACATGATTTATGCCACTGCAACTTGTGTCGACACGAGGGGTTTGCACCCGGGCAGCTATCCCAGGGGCCGAAACCCCAGTGTAGAAGAGGCCTGGTAGAGGAACAGAGTGTCTTGGTTTGGTTCACTGTGAACTGTTCAGTTCTTCTGCCTCTGTTCACACTGAATTTTTGCAGAGTGGCCCCCTGAAGGGTTTGAAGATAAAACCCTCAGGTGCTGCTCCATCTGGAAGTGACGGTGGTTAGCGTACCATTGACGGCTGGAGTTTCCCATAGCCTGCAGCATTTTGTTTCAGGGAAAACAGCCTGGGTTTTGCTTTTTTTTATTTCACCTTCCACACTGTATGCTGGGCTCGGGCCATTCTCCTTTCCTTGTTACAGCATCCCAGAGGTCTGAGGGGCTCCGGAACGGGCCTGGATGTTTGGGTGGTATTTAAACGGCAGTCAGGGTCTGTAATTTACAAGCCAATGGGAATTGATTAGTCGTTAATATTTTTGACTGAGCTTAATTCTGAGCATTAGGAGATTCTCTGTGCTGAGACACTGATCTAAACCCAAGGTACCCGGGGTGAGAATCACAGAAAAGGCCTGGTTTGCTTCAATGGGGCCAATTCATCCTTGCTCTGAGATGTCTCTGCGCCGGCTCTGCCCATGAAAAGGGCCATAAAGCAGGTGTGAACCTGCAGGAATATTACCAGCATAGGGAACCTCTTCCCCCTCACACGAGCCCCCCTCACAAGTGCTATGCCAGGGGAGATCAGGAGGAGTGGGGGGCGTGTCAGGGCGGGAGGAGGTATGCTTAGAGGGTCCCTTCACCTTGGCTGTTCCTGAGGGATTTTCCAGCCAGTGCTGAGGGCTGGTCTGGCCCCTGACAGCACCACCTCCCGTCCAGCCCCACGGGTGGATTCAGGCCTCAGGGAGTCACTCTTCCTAATTGGGAGCAGGCACACTCCGGAAGACTCTGTCAAGGATTCTACAAACAACAGCCCCATGACTTGCTGGGATCACCCTGAGAAAACCCAGCCTGTGGTGCAGATGAGACAAACTCTGAGCTGCTCTGGGCTCCCTGAAGAGCAGCTCTGATATTCCATATGCTGGCCCCCACCCCTGCGACTACAAAACGCTGACGCCCTGCCAGGGTGTCCTCGGATCTCTACCGGCATGGGGGTTCCTGGAAATAGCTTTGAATCAGTGCATCTCTCTGCCCCAGCCAGTCCTGGGCCTCCCACAGGGCAGACTTTCTGCTGCTGGGCATGTGAAGGACCTAAGCATGGATCTCTCTCCCTTCGACTGGGTCTTTCTTCCTCCCAGCTGCAGGTGGCAACACCGTGCTCAGGTGAAGAAGTGTTTTGCGCATGGATCCGGCTGCCAGGGACTCCAACAAGGCACTGGAGCAGCTGAGTGCGTCTCCTAATGCAGCTTCTAAAATGCACCCCGGGGCGTGGTGCCATGCTCCTCAGCTGACCCGGTGAGCCTGCCACCAGGTGCAGTCAGGCCCCTTGGTGAGACGGGAGGCCAAGGACTATTACATGAGGAATCTCCTGGCTCTAGCCCCTGTCCCAGGCATGGTGCACGTACCAAGCCCACTGAGCTGGGCAAACAGTTGAGAAGCCCCACAGCGGGCAGGTGGGGGGCTGCCCCAGGGGTGGGAGACAATGGGTTTAGGGTGGCACCTGGATGAGCTACTCGCTGAGAAGCGGGGAAAAGAAATGGCAAGTGAGACCCTGCCTTCTGCATTCCACCGAGGGCTGGGGTGTGAGGTCTGGAAGGGCAGTTAGTTACCCAGGCTCCCCGAGAACTAGCCAGGGGGAGCGGGGGCGACTCTGCACTAACGAGGGGGGAGGGGTAGGAGAGCGTCAGACATTGTGGCAAATTGATACTGTTTGCAACATGCCGTCTTTCAGTAGGGAGATCAAAGACAGGGGAAAACTCCATCCACCCAGCCATCCCCAACCCCATCCACATCCACCCAGCCATCCCCACACCTCCACCCAGCCATCTACCCTCCACACCTTCACCTCGCCATATACCACCCACTCCATCCACCCATCAGCCC